GAATTTTAATGACTTTTACCAATTGTTATGGAAATTAATGTGTAAAATCCATGTTTTAAAAGAGTTTTGAGAAGTTCAATTTCTAGATGCTTATGATACCTAATTCTAACATCTAGATTTTAAGTGCTTATGAGATCTAAATCATCAATTTTTGAATTTTATGACTTAGACCCTGTTTTTAAATGAATTAGAGTCTAGAGGTTGAAATTTTTGAGAAAAAAAAAAAAAGTGGGTTTAGGTACTTAAAATATACGAATTTTAAGGTTTTTGATGAAATATAATCCTGGATTTCTAAGACCTAAACCTAAAATTTAACTTTCATAAAAAAAAAAAAAAAAAAAAAAAATTATTTACGGGCTACATTGTGAATATAGTTCAAACTTTACCAGATTCCAAATTTGTGTGGAGGGGTCGCTTTGTATGGATCATGTGGATTAGTCGGAGCGAAGCTCTAGACACCCCAATTATTGAAAAAAAGAAAAGAAAAGGACACAATATGTATGTATTTTTGGGTTTTGAGAAAGATTCTAATGGTCTTTAAACTTATCGAATATATATTGAACTGATGAAAAGTGCTTTAAAAGCTAGAGTTTTTGAAAAAAAAAAAAAAAAAAAGTAAACCTAAAATATTTTGGGAAGGATTCTAATCGTCTTTAAACTTATCGAATTTATATTGATACGATGAAAAGTGCTTTAAAAGAGTTTTTGAAAAAAAAAAAAAACCCTAAACCCTAGATTTATGACCTAATTTGGGGCCCTAGGAAAGCTTTAAAGATTTGGAATTATGTTTTTATTGTGTGTTTTGAAAAAGTCATGGTTTTGAAGGTGTATTTGGACAATCCACACATTACTTAAGACATGGAGAGTGCACTATGTCATCACCTACAATAACCATGAGAGCATGCATATGCTCACAAGTTTTTTTGAAAAACAAGTGATTTGTAAAATTGATTTCCAAGTTTATTTGATGGATGAATGCACACACAAATGACTATAAAGGATTTTAGGGACACACTAGTAGCTTTAAAAGCTACTTGCTAGAATGACAAGGTGTGCCTATCCATCTACCTTAATGGGCTGGTGGGGTGACCTGGTACTCAACTGGAGGCTTAGTATGACACGAGATCAAGAATAGGACCTGCTCTAATACCATTTGTCACGGACCGGGTGCTTGGCGATCCATTTCAAAATTTTAAACTATTAGATGGTGCTAACACCCAACCTTATATGATCAAGATCTCCCATCCAGATTAGATGTGGGACAATAATTAATAATACTAAGGTTAAAATGGAGTGTCTAACCCATGTTTCGTGATCTTGAAAATATTTTAATACATCTCACAATATAACATTTTTAGTTAAGAAAAATTGTCATTATACAAATGGTTACAAGTAATGCATAAAATAATATTTTTTTCGTATAGAATAAAAAGATGGTTATAATAACAAAATGGTTGGAGCATATATAATATAATAGTCATCAGCAAAACTTCATCTTCTAAATTATGTCGTGGTAACTAACAAAAATTAGAAATGACTTTTCTACAAAAATCATACTTAATAATGCATATAAATAAAATTTATATTTATATATGATCGTGTATTTGTGTCATACTTCATGTCGACCGTGTCCTGTATCCGTGTCTATACCACCAAGCATAAGCATAAATACCCTAACGTATCCTGGATTTGAAGTCACAGAGTGTGTATTTATAACATCAAGACCTCTGGTCAAAGGCCAAGCCAGAAATATAACAAAGGCAGAAGCCCAAAAAAATAACAGCAATTTTTAGGTATTCATTAGCGAAAATATTCAACCAGAGTATCTGCAAATGGAGAACTCACACATTTACCTTGTTCAGGAAATAACAACACATACATTATCATCCGCCAAAAATTTCTTAACCATATCATTTCTGAATAAAATATAAATTACAAACTCATTCAATCTTAGTTCATAATAATTGCCACTGCCACCCAGTTAGAACATGAGCCACCATTGCATGTTAAATCAACCATCCGATGGTATGTGTACAGTAACAGTAACAACATTAAGTATATCATCGACATTTAAATTAAATTATCTCCAATTTAGCCCCCGGAGGTAATTTTTTTCTTAGCTTCTCAGCACGCTTTCTCACTGCCCTTCTCCTTTTACCAACCTTAAACTCCTCGGGCCACCCGAACACACGTCTTGGAAATATTGATAGTCATCTTCTCAAGCGACACAGCAATCTCAATCAAGTGCAAAGCAAGGTCAACATCACTTCCGTACCCAATAAACCCTACCAACTCCACCACTTTAAGGTTCTGATGTGGAAAATTTGTAGGTTTACGATCTATTCTATAATTAGTAAGGGCGAAATCCTTCATGTATTCCCTGCCAAATAAATATATATATATATATATATATATATATATAACAAAATTTGAATGTTAGTATATAAGATGATTGACTTACCAAAGAGAGAGGGGGAGGGGACAAAGAAAGGGAGGGGGGGCAAAGAAGTGACGAGAAAAAAGATAAGATGATTGACAAGTAAAAAATAGTTATGTAGTTTTCTGTACGGACCATTCCTTCCTGCGTTCCCTTGAAGATAGGATTTTAGATGCATATCCCAACTGTCACATAAAAATAAATAAATATTAATAGTAATAAATAAATAAATAAATAAAAGAAGAGAGAGAAGAAGAAGAAGCCATATCAATGCTTGTTTATAAAAATGAAGATAACTTTAGCACAAATGGCATAAATTTGCTAGTGTTACAAATTGAAAAAGAAAAGGTAAAAATAAGGTATATACATACATTAACATCCAACAAGTTCACAGGAAAGGGAGGGGTAGAGGCGTTAGGAATTGTCTCTCAAATTCTATTGCAATTAGGCTTCTATTTTAGAGTCTCATTTTATAAATATCTACCTAAGTTGAGTGTTGAAAGTGATGAGATGAGAGAGACGAAGCTCATGAGGAAGTTCATGAGTAGAGGGAGTTTAAGGGTTTGGTAGAGAAAGAGCACTAATGGCGAGAGGGAGTCAAGTGGAGTGGTACACGATGTAAGGCTCGGGTATGTCACCCAACCCTCGTGCAGGAGGTGGTGTACACGGTCCGATGTTTGTTATTTTCTTCCGTTGTAATATCTCTAGTGGAATCTCCTCATTTGTGGACATAGCCAAGTTTTAGGTATTCTGTCTTTTGTTTTGGATATCTGTGTTCATTCGCTTCCGCTGCCCTACCAAGTGGTATAAAGAGCCGCTAGTTTGAATTGGGATGTTTGTTCAAAGACGATCCAGAAAACATAAGAAGTCTCAACAAGTGTTGCTTGCAAGTGGAGCCAATCAATTGGCTTGCTTGATCACGATGGTCAAAAAATCATAAATCGTGATGAGTTTCGTGGCATGGAGCTCAAGTCGTCAAGGTGAAGCCCAGAAGGTTTGACTGATGGAGCGGTGGGCAATTAGAGTTTGCAGGAGGACAGAGAAGATTGAAACTATAGAGAATTGTCCAAATCAATGTTGTGAGAAGATGATTGGTTGGATGAAATTTGAGCCAATATGGAGATTATTAGGTATTGTGTCACAAATTCTATTGTAATTAGGTTTCTATTTTAGAGTCTTATTTTATATGGTAATTTTTTGTTTGATAACTCTTGGGCTCCAAAGAATTGTAATCATTGATGGACAAGAACTATGCTTTATAGTGCTCAATGGGACCATCTGACTTGAGTTTTGTTTTAAACACCCAACGAGTTCCAACAATGCTCATGCGAGGAACCAAGTCCTAAGTGAATGGTGTGGACTCTATAAATAGATACCTAAGTTGAGTGTTGAGAGTAACGAGTTTGAGAGAGATGTAGCCTCATGGGGAGTTGATGGCTAGAAGAGTTTACGGGTTTGGTGGAGGGAGAGTATTGATGGTGAGGGGGAGTCTCTATGTCACCCTACCCTCGAGCAGGAGTTTGTGTACACGGTCTGGTGCTCGGTATTCTCTTCCGTTGTAATATCTCTATATGATTATATTGGAATATCATCTTTTGTGGACGTAGCTAGGTTTTAGGTGAACCACGCAAATTTTGTGTTGATGTGTGATTGCTTTTTTCTATTTTGTCTTTAGTTTTGGATCTCCATGTTTATTCGCTTCGGCTGCCCTAACAAAAGGCTCCTATAAATCTTCTTGCTTCTAAAGAAATATGCGCGATCTTTCGTGCCCACAGAGATATGATAGGTTAACAAATATATGAGAAATTATGGTTATTTGATAAGTAAGAAACATATCAGAAATCAGAGCAATAAAATCTATAAAAAAATTTGATGTAAGTGCCTTTCGTATGTAAGTGTGTTGCCTGCATCAAACAAACAATCAGTCTATTGTTTATTGCACAGCTAAGCATTGTTTGCATGTCTAGACTTTGACTTTATGCAATGCAAACCTCTAAATTATTCTCACACAGTTAAAACTGTACAAAGGCTTTGCCTTCAAATAAATGAAGGAAATTTTTTTTTTTTGGTTGGTTCAGCAATTGCGAATGGTGCCACGAAGGGATTTTTTCTAAAAATTTGAACCAAAGAATCAACTCAAGTTTTTATCTTGAAGTTTTTTCTGTTAGTCTTCCATGAGTACATCACCTCAGTGATCAGTTTACTCTGCAGTCCACCAGGCTGCTTGCTCTAGACTATCCTTTAGTTTGCTTGACTCTCTTTTCATCCCTTTTTGGCATTTGTTTGCTGTAAATAGTTTTTAAAGGTAGCCTAGACACCAAAAAAGTTTCAAACTCAAAAAGACTCAAGTAGGGCTGCAAATGAACCGAGCTGCTCATAAATAACTCCGGCTCGGCTCATTAAAAGCTCGGTTTGGACTCGTTCATTTATTAAACGAGCTGAGCCTGAGCTCAATTTCTAGGCTCGTTTAGTAAATGAGCCGAACTTGAGTAATACTGGGCTCAGTTCGTTAGGCTCGTAAGCAAGCTCGTTAACTTTTAAAGGTCCATTTTTATTTATCATTCTACATTAAAAGGGTTAAGTCCATATAAATACCATTTGGGCTCAACTCCCATCAATTCATTAATAAGGCCCAATAATTATATAATTCATTAGCCCATCATCCAAATCACATTTAATCTCAGCCACTAAACTTAAATTCATCTCAGCCGTTGTTTGTCTTGAAAGATAAGAATAAACCTAGTCATATATGTCTGCAGCCGCACGACTTCTTTTCAGACTTCAACTGCGCTACATGATCTCGCCGGCAGCCATCCTCATGCGACAAGACTCTCTCCCAAATAGATCTTGAGGTTCGGCAGTGCAATATATGTGTAGATCGAGTTGATAAGACATTGTAAGCTTTGAATTCATCTTGAATGCATGTTCTGTATTTTTTTTCTTTTCTTTCTAGTTGGAGATGGAGATCGGCTGAACTTCTATCCTGTTGGAGATGATTGGATTTCAAGGAAGAAATCATGGTGATTTCTTGAATCGGTAGTTGCTGTTGTGTTATGTAAATGAGCCCGAGCTGAGCCTGAGCTTGTCAAATTTCTGCCGAGCCCGAGCCCGAGCCCGAGCCCGAGCCCGAGGTTGGATAGGCAAAGCTCGCCCGGGCCCGAGCCGGTTCCGAGCAAGCCAAAGCTCAGCTCGGCTTGGCTCAGTTCATTTGTAGCCCAAAGCCCTGGACTCAAGTGGTATGCTTCAACCTACAATAAAGGAGACTCTTTTATTAGGCAGCCATAAAGCCCCAAGGAGGCATTTCTAGTAGACTCAAAGCTCCAAAAGCTTGCATTTCTTTTCAAATCTGATAAGTAATATGATCTCTTAATTGGTATTTGGCAGAACTTAAGAGCTTATTGGTCACCACTTGCATTAAAAACATCTAGTGCTTGACTATGAATATTGATAAAATATACCTTCAAATTTTACGAGTATCATTTTTTTAGTGCACGTTTATAGTAATAATTGATTAGTTAATGCTTATGCATATTAAAAAGGATTCCAATTATTTAAGGTCGGCAACATGAAGTTTCATCTCCATCTTATTTATCTCCACTAGTTGCTAGTTCAAACTGGTAAATCTTTGTTGCTGTTGTTTGCTAAAAATCCATTCTACAATCATTTTAAATCCGCAAGGTCGTGCTTAATACCTTATCTTTACACAACACAACCAATCCCAAGCTCGAGACAAAAACAGGAGGGTTGCATTCCCCAAAAAATCATTTATTTAAAAAATTTTGGTTTTGCGTTCTATTGATTGAATTATCCAATAGTACAATGATAACTAATGCATGTGCAGATTGAAAGGCATGCACACAAGGCGAATCTAAGAATTATCAACGAGGGGGGCTAATATTTTTTTGGGTGGGTTAATATTAGTATTTTTTTTTAGACTGGGCTAAAATTACTATGGTAAAAAATAAAAAATAAAAATTTTGAAGTGGGATTGAGCCCACCAAAGCCCCCCCTTAGATCCGCCAGTGCATGTATATTCATTTACCTAATGCATAAATGTACTAAAAATTCCTTCATCTTGATCTTGACCAATTTGTCTTGTAATGTAAATTTTTATGTAATAACTACATCTAATATGAATTCGCATCACCCATGCATCTTACTTCACACAGGCCCACACCTTAGGTTGTGCCTTGCTCAGGATCTAACACACCATAGCAACTTGGTTGTCCCAGAGCCATTAAAATGTATATGATGTTCAAATATAAATCTGGATTGGGTCTGATTGCATTGGTTGCCATGGTTTCTTACAAAAATAACTCTCATAGAATCTAAGACCTAAATGTAGCAAAGTTGGAGATGCTTTTCACCATCCTAAATTTGCTCTGGACCTATATACTCGAATGAAATATACTCACTTCAAGCTTAGCTGGCTTCAATCCAACAAAACCTGGCCTGAAACCTTGGTAGAGTTGCATCATTGACAAAGCATTTAATATTTTGTCATATATCCTTAAAACCACCAGAAATCAGTTACTACTATGGCCAAGGCCAACCAAAGATACGGACACGTGCGTTATTATTAGTGATGGGCTAGAGATAAGGGTCCCTACTATTCCAATTACGTTTGCCATGTTTGAATTGCAGAACTCTTTAACATGTTTTACAAAAAGGGATACAGAACATGCAAATTAAAGTATAACAGGTTTTCCACATGCTCGCTCTATCTCTGTCACACACACACTACGCACACATAGTAGGGACAACTAGCAATGCAGCAGGTATAACAACCGTTATTTGTTTATTTGGCTCAAATTTTAGGTTGAGGTGCACAATTAACACTCTACATCACCACAACCGATCTTCAACCTTTGAACACAAATGAAATCCATGTTGTTTTAAAACATTCCAAACTAAATTAACAACAAAGAACAGAGTGTCCCATAAGGTAGATCCCCATGTTCCTATGCCCTATGTTCACGACCTAACTGGAGTCAAGCTAGTAATGTTTAGGATTGGATTATTTACACAAGAAGCCTAAGAAGTGAGCTCGATATCACAGCCGGGCACTTGCCATCTAACATAAAAGTTTGAGCTATTAGGTGGTGCTTTCTACCACCTTATAAGCCCGTAACCCACACTGTTCCTATTTAATGTGGAACGTGACACTAACAAGCAACACCCTCATCTCAGCCTGGCTCCATTTCTTAGAGAGAGTGGGCCTACCTTGCCCAAGCCTACCAACCATATTGTCCCCAATAAGGGACCCACAAAGTAAATAAGGACCACACTTGCTCTGATATCACAGACCAGACACTTGTCATTCGACCCAAAACGTTTAAACTATTATATGGTGTTGCCTACCCTTTTAAGCCAAGAACCAACCCTGTTACTGTCCTATGTGGGTTGTGAGACCTGTAACATTGAGCTCACCAGCCTCACCTTGATTATTAACAAACAAAATTCCATAATTTAGCTGAACAATCTTTAAAATTTTACATAATTTTAGCTGATTACTCCTTGTATATAGCCTAGTGTTGTGCAAAATATAAAATCTAAAATCAAAAAATGAATTTATGCATGTTCCATTAAACATTATGTGCAATAGAAAATCATGAAGATAATTTATAAATGTACTTCTTAGCACAACCCCATAATCATGAGCATGAAACATACTAAATAGATAAGAAAGGGAGCTCTATACATAAACTTATGCAGTTAATTGCTCAACCATACAATCAACAGTGCCCACAATTCTGAAATAGTAAGCAACAAAATCCAAATAACTTACCCGTATTTTGAACATAGACAATAAAGGAGATGCCCGTATTTTGAACATAGACAATAAAGGAGATGCCTTTATCAAGGAAGTAAAACAAATGAGACTAGTGTACTCTGATGCTTTTACCGTCATTTCCAAATTCTTGAGATTTCTCAATTTAGGAAATTGAAGTGGAAATCCAGTAGTGTAAATTACCTATGCAGAGTAAAGACAAGAGACATCGATGATCATTATCAGTATGTATTGATACAACAAAGAGACAAAAGGAAGCAAAGGCATACAGTGTGATTTTACATACCTAATGACAAAGATTCAATTTAAGAGTCTCTAGTTGAGAGAAATAACTCAAATGCTGGTGAGGTTGTTTAATAAAATATACAACGTAGTCATGCCCAATAGATAGCTCAGAAAGAAGGGGAACATCGTTAAAAGGCATGCTTATCTTTGGTCCACTATATGTGAAAGAGACCAGATTTATTGCAGAAATCTCCATTTTTTTTCACAAGAATACAATGGTATATCTGTAAATACTTCAAATTGAGTGATGGGCCAGCAACCTTTAAATTCACCAGACTGTTTGAGACTTCCACGGATAAACGTTCAAGTAAAAGACAGTTGGATAAAAAGTACTCAAGAACCTCGCCGGTCACATTAACATGTTTCAGGCAAAGGGATGTTAACCCAGCAAAACCACGAGGCCTTGCTATGTGTAATACCCTATTTGAATGCAAATGCTTTGGAGTATAAGAACTAAATGGCAAGGAAAAATTGTCCGAACTTAGGAATTTGTATTTTGGATTAGAATGAAACTTGTTTCTGAAGCAGTTTGAAAAATCCAACTCAAACCTTTGAACACATTTTTCTATGGCAAAATTGACCCACCTGTCAACTTCACAAAAATGATCTTCATTCAAATCAAAATCAAAACCAACTCTTAAATTCATCTATATATGAACCCTGATGCAATTTCAAGACTTGATTCACCCAATTTACATAATTAACCATCTCGACTGAACGTGACTCCTCAAATGTAGATGAAATCCAACGACGTCTCAATTCGTATAACGTTTTGGAAGCATCAAAATTCAAACTGCCGGTAGTGTATGTCCAAAGATATCTCCATCTACGAGAGAGGATGCTAGTAGTCGCTGTGTCCTTGAGTGTCAACAGAGACAGAATGGCAACAAGAATCTCATCTGGCAGCAAACTAATCCTATCATCACCGCAATCTTCATCTCGCTTTTTCCCCTAAATAAATTATGATAATAATAATAATAATCGCTTTTTCCACTAAATAAATTATGATAATAATAATAATAATCAAACACCAAAGCATTCAACTAGAAAATTAACGAACAATGTTAAAAGTATATACAACTAACTAAACACCATCATCCAAAAACAAAACAAAAGTTTCTCAACAACACTTGCAAAAAACCGAATGAATAATGATATATTGACAATAAATAGTTTTTATTTGTTTTTAAATATACACAAAATTCTTGATTCAAACATTAGATTAGCATTGTAGCTTGCATATCCCAAATTCTGAGTTACATCGAACCACTTTGCCCATTGAGTTGGTTCAGGAATTAACTATAAGCTGCAGAATTTGTCAAACAAACCAAACCTGTTAGATGAGATGAGATTATAAATAATTAAAATATGCACACACTAAAAGTTGCGATAGGAGTAGAACAGAAGTACCCTAAATCTAAAATAGTACAGTATTTAATTGCGAGCGGGAGGAGGACCCCTAAAGATCACTGTACCCCTCTCTCTCCTCTCCCGCGAAAAAGGGTGGGCTTATTCATAAACAAACGCTAGCGAGTGAATTAGGATTTCGTCGACAGAGTAGGACTTTGGGCTTTGTACTGGGCGGGCCTGGTCAACGGCCTGGTCTTATGCAACACCAGGCTGGACTCGGATTGGGCTCGAATTAAGCAGCCCAAGTTACAACACAATACTAGTGATCAAGGTGACAATTCATGTTCACTGGTTATCATCGTGTCATGTCTATCTAAAGGTATCCTAAACATGTCAACCAAAAAACACGACTCGTGTAATAATCGTGTCAAACCCTCAACAATAATTCAACTTGTTTATTAAACGGGTTAGACATGTTAACTTGTTTAGTAACATATTTATCAAGACAAACATTTAATACTCAATCAAATAATAATTACTAGAAAAAATATATATAAGCTTCAACTAATCTAAATATTCAAAGTAAGAAGAAAAATATCAAACATTCCATAGTTAGGTTGATAGAATACAAATGTTTAAGTCTAATTCATAAGACGTTTGTCCATAGTAATTGAATCTAAACAGTAATATATTGCACATGTCATATTTACGATTATTACAAGTTGTAGTTAGCGTTTATGTTGAAATGATCTAATTGTTCATGTCCTAATGTGTCTAAATAAGTAATATATTACATGAATTATATTCACGATTATTACAAGTTGAGTTACAGGAGTATAAATGGATTATACGGATTGAACCCCTCAAATCAAACACGACATGATTAAGTAAACGGATTAATTGTGCCAACCCGTTTATGACCCAAGCTCATTTAATATCCAACCCGTTTTATCTCATGTCGTGTTTAAATAGTGTTGGCGGGTTGTGTCGAACTTTGCCACCTTAGTCCATTGCGCACTGAAGTGTCTGCATGATATAAGTGTTGGGG